CTACCTTACCCATTACAAAGATAGTTTCCCCAATTATCACCTCTAATACCATTAACTCTCAGGCATTTACCTTCCTTCCCCCGCATCCCCCTTCTGTTTTGAAATGTGATTTGTCCTTTTCATATGTGTTCACTTTTTTTTAATTGTATCCTTTGGTATATATGGTTGTGACTATTTTCTTCCACTATTTGATCTGAGGAAGTGGGTCTTGCCCACGAAAGCTCATCATCTAATAAACCATCTTGTTAGTCTTTAAAGTGCTACATAGTCCTGTATTTTGTTTCATACTATATATATGCGAGGTGTTATCAAGTATACTGCTGTTGCAAATGACTATGGGCCTGATCCTGAGAGATGCCGAGTGCTTGCAAATAGGGATGTAATAGTGTATCCAGTTAAACAATTAACCGATAAGCACTTCCCTATGTTTGTTCTAAATCTATGCCTATTAAGTTTATGGGGTGACCCCTGCTTCTTGTGTTATGGGAATGGGTAAGTAATGTTTACTTTCTCCACACCAGTCATTTTACAGACTTCTATCATATCGCCTCTTACTGATCTCTTTTCTAAGATGAATAGTTCCAGTCTTTTCAATCTCTTCTCATGTGGAAGCTGTTCCATACCCCAATCATTTTTGTTGCATTTCTCAGTACTTTGTCTAATTCTCTGATAGCTTCTTTGTGATGGGGTAACAAGAGCTGTGTGCAGTATCCAATGTGTGGGCACATCATGGATTCTACAGTGGCATTACATTTTTTCTCTTATTAGCTATCCTTTTTCTAATGGTTAATAATGTTCTGTTAGCTTTCTGGAGCACATTGAGCAAATGTTTTCATAGAGCTAGCCATGATGACTCCAAGATCTTTCTTGAGTGGTAACAGCTCATTTAATCTCAACTATGCATACAAAATGATGGGGCTTGTTTCCCAATGGACATCATTTTGCATTTATCAGCATTGAACTTCATGGGCCATTTTATTGTCCAGTCACCCAGTTTTGCAAAATCCCCCACTAACTCATTGCAGTCAGTTTTGGATTTCCCAAATTATTTATGGATCTGTTGAACAGCACTGGTCCCAGTACAGATCCTTGGGGAGACCCTGCTACTTCTCTCTCTCTCTCTCTCTCTCTCTCTCTCAACTGTAAAAATGAACCATTTAATTTCTTCCCTTTGTTTTTCTCTCTCTTAACTACACACAGATCCGCAAGAAGACCTTCCCTCTTATCCCACGACTATTTCTTTTGTTTGAGACTTTGGTGAGACATGTTGTCAAAGACTCGATGAAATTCTATGTGCATTATATATTCAGTGGATCATCCTCAACATGCTTGTTTACCACCTCAAAAATCTGATAGGTGAAGCATGATTTCTTTTTCCAACGCTGTTCTGATTCTTCTCCAACATCATGTTCATCTACATTTCTCATAATTCCATTCTTTACTATAGTTTCCACCAATTATTGGTACTGAAGTTAGGTTTGCTGGTCTATAACTGCCAGGATCACCGCTGGAGCCTTTTTAAAAAATTGGTGTTACATTAGGTGTCTTGCAGTGATTAGATACATTGGTCAGTGGTGCCAATAGCCTCTGCAGGTTCCTGAAAGGGGCAGTGCCAAAGATGGAGGGGCTAAGGGCTGGGGAGAAGGTGCACTGCTCTCTAGGCAGTGCTGAAGGCCAGCTGCACTCAGCCCCCTTTGAATCACTAGGCCCCGGGGCAGCTGTCCCCTTTATTCCTGCCCAACTCCCCTGTTGGCAGACCTGACATTTGTTGATTTAAGCAATAGGTTATATTCCACAGTTGTTAGTTCTACAATTTCAGATTTGAGTTCCTCTGAATTCTTGAGTTAATACCACCATCTGGCCCTGGTGACTTAGTTCTGTTTTATTTGTCAGTTAGGCTGTGTCCAGACTCAGGGGTTTTTTCGAAAAAAGTAGCCTTTTTTCGAAAAAACTTCCCCTGCGTCCAGACTCAAGCCGCGTTTTTTCGAAATTAATTCGAAAGAACGCGGCTTTTCTTTCGATGGCGGTAAACCTCAATTTACGAGGAAGAACGCCTTCTTTCGAAAGTTCCTCTTTCGAAAGAAGGCGTTCTTCAATGTAAATAGGGCTTCTTCGAAAGAGAGCATCCAGACTCACTGGATGCTTTCTTTCGAAAAAGCAAGCCGCTTTTTCGAAATTTCTCCGTGCAGTCTAGACGCTCTCTTTCGAAAGAGGCTCTTTCGAAAGATGCTTTCGAAAGAGCCTCTTTCGAAAGAAGCCTGCAGTCTAGACATAGCCTTAGTTCCAACACCTCTTCTACTGACATCTCAGTTGGGGACAGTTCCCCAGATTCATTATATAAAAAGAACAGCTCAGGTGTGGGAATCTGCATCCCTTCCTCTGCAGTGAAGATCAATGCACAATGCACATCCCTTCCTCTGCAGTGGTTTTGGCTTCCTCGAGTGCTCCTTTAACTCCTCAGTCTCCCTTGGTCCTACTGACTGTTTGGCAGGTTTCCTGCTTCTGATGTACTTTGAAAAAGTGCTGCTGAGTTTTTCTGGCTGTATTGTTAGTTGTTCTTCAAATTATTTTTTGGCCTAATTAATTATATTTTTACATTTGGTTTTCCTGAGTTGATGCTCATTTTCCTCACTAGGATTTTTGAAAAGATGGGTTTTTTTCCCCTCTAACTTCCTATTTTACTCTGTTTTATTGTTGGTGGCATTTTTTCTGGTTCTTTTGGAGTGTGTGTGTGAGTGTGTTTGTTCCTTCCTTTTTGAAGATACATGCCACAGTGGTTGGTTTCTCTGCTATTTCTCCATT